CTGCCTCTATGAGTGGTGACGAAACAGTTCAGGAATTATCATGGTTCCTGCCAGTTCACCACGCATGCAATTTAATCCATTCCGATCTGTGTTATTGTTGGCGATTCGTTTTCACCTAAGAACCATCAATGGTTTCAGAAAGATTATGATTTTATGGTTCAAATATGGTGTTTCTGTATGAAGTGACTTCCAACTGTCTTGTGTGCGAGCTATCGCACAGCTGCCTGACCACGACACGATCCAATCATGGTAGTCACCAGCTTCAGTTGTCGGACAACACCATTGGTCACTTTTGCCTCACAGAATCGCCTGAATGGAGATGAAAAATACCGAATACCCTTAGTTGCCAGCCCATTCTCTCAGTCCGCTGTGATGCAGCCTACTATTTTTACCATCCTAATAGCGTTTTTGTTGCCAATACTTGCACTAATATCAACACGCAAATCACCTGCATCGTGACACCGTTGTGTCGTGCAAGCTGCCAGTTCGTTCAAGCAACAAGTCTTTGATTAGGTCAAAATAATTGGCCGTAGAATATTTTAGGCGCCGTTTTTGATGCGGTGCGTATGCCTGCTCATTTGAACTAAGACAGACCATGAAACCCTCCCTTTAAACGTCCACCAAATTTGTCACAGTACCTTCCGACACAGCGAATCCCTTTTTGCCATCAATCACTGATAACTTTTTGCCTGATATGTTGATGTGAATCCGCTAGGTAGTAGTTGGAACGTATTGTTTGGCACGAAAAGACCTTGTGTGGAGGGATTTACTGCCTAAAACAACTGTTCGATCACGAGATGGGGTCAAAGTGGAGATCGAGTGGATGCTCAGATGTACTCGGGTTGATCTGAGATCGGCGAGTTGAGTAATTAGCACTGAGTGATGCGTTGTCGGTGTGAACAGCGATGTGGCGTGACAGCAGAGAAGCAATCAAGCGAACACGGCTGTGTGAATGGACGTCAAAAAAATCAGAGTTCAGTTAGTTGTCATGGGGAACGCCGATATCCGCAACAATCATGCAAGTGGTTTTGTCACGCATCCCTCTGCGTGTACCTCCTCTGCAACCCATTCCACGCAACTTGCCAAGTTGTATGGGCCAACAAACTCGGTAGTCATATACGAATGAGTACGCATTCAACACCGGAAAACACCAAGCGTTTGCACCCAAATATATGAGATCTGTACGTTGGAAGTTGCATCCATTCCTCTCCAGAAGGCTCGATTACATTTAGAGGCAGTTGAATGTGCACTTTTCAGGCTAAAAAGGGCGAGGAATTTCGAGCCCATATCTCACCCTGACACCGAAGGTGGCCCTGTGCCTAATTGCCTGCCATTCCCAATGCCTCACGCATGCATTTAAGGCTAAAAGTACACACTTTTGAATGTACAACATTGGTGCAGAGTGTTGATCAATCGCGGGAACAGTGACAATCGCGAGCCACGTCAGAATTCGCTAAAAGCAATTAGTAAGGACAAAGGGAAGAGTGCCACAATGGAAATTGCACGTCGAAGTGACATTCAGGGCTCGGGTTACCAGAAAATCTGGTTGAAACATTTCCTTGGATTGTAAGACAGGCACATGTTTACACTCTGAAAGTATTAGAATCAAATATTTTTTTGTCGTCATAGTGACAAATTTTGGCCAAACGTTTCTTCTCCTTTAAGCACTTTTAGCAAGGGAAAAGCGAAAACCAAGATAAAGGGCATCAGTGCGTGATGCCTTATCGTGACAAATCTCTGAAGTCATCCATAATTCAAAGGGCTATTTTATCAGGGTGGAGGAACCATTTCTAGCAAATTCAGTTGCAGCTTTGTCGATTCCTTTAAATTTTCGCAGATTTAAATCCACGTTCCTGTTAAAACGGCCTTCAAGCGTGAAGAAATTATTACAAAACCTGCAAGCATCTTTCTAGCACGTTTTTACGATTTAGCTGAACAAACAGGCATTCGTGTTTGCAAAACACAAAAGCAGTAATAGGACATTCTTAAAGCCTGTGGGTGTTTTAAAGTACACAGATCTAAAGTACAAGTTTGCTAACACCCTGCTGTGAGTAAAGTCAAGTGCAGATAAGCAGAGTACAGTCAAATGTTTTTAAAAAAAAATACTTCAATGGTTGAAAATTCAGTGGTGATTTGTAGTGCTGATAATTGACCACTTGATTTTAAAGAACAGACATTTTTGTGGGATAAAAAATCTAGGATATTCTCTCAAACGCCATGCCAATAATCATTTGGTTTTGATGATTTACACGGCTTTGGAAGAAGTAGACGATGTCGGCAGATGGCGTTTGATGTGTCGTACTTTCCGTTAAACGTTGCTTCCACAATTGAAGCTGTGCTTCTAACGCAACCATGTGATATCTCATTCACACTAGAGTTAGAGTGAATTGAGGAAATAGTTTTTCTCTAAAACGATTCTTGATCCGGTGTGAGAAAGTAATCACAGATTGCTTTGCGGTCACCAGGTGATGACGTTACAGCGTCACACTTGGTGTAGTCGGTCGCGGTTAAGCCTAAATTTTGAGGTGGCTCTGCTGTTAGCTACTCTGGACCACCACACCCCATCATCATCAACCTCATCATCGTCGTCGTCGTTTTTTCCCATTTCCATAAACTGAACTATCAGTGTTTCGAATGTGATTGCGTTTTTAGCCAAAACATGGAGCTTCATCGCTTCACCGTCTAATTTTGACAGTTTCTGCTACTTTTCTTCCCCGAACTGCAGTTTGCATTTTAAAAACAGCATTCACCTTAGTTCTTGTCACATGACAACCATGAATGTCCCTTTCTAAGGTCCAATTGGCTGAAATGCGTTGTGTGATATCATCTTCCTGAGTTTGTCTCAGCGGATAATTCAATTCACCATTCCATCTTGAACCCAGGCCATTTGGTAGTTATGGCTACAAATTCGCTTACCCAACTAGATCACTTCCTTCTTCCCAAGTATGCAACCATCAACTGGATAAGTACTTGTAATAGGATGCACACAAGCAGTAAACGTCATTATGTGTTTATGTCAAAATTACCTTCTTGAATGATTACTGCAATTGATTTAAATGAACGCCAATATGTACCTAGGTTATATGTCATGTTGTCAAACAAGTGTATGACTTGGCGCAATCAATTGGACAAAGAGACATTTTCTGTTAATTAAAAGTCGGTTAAATTAGTAATTCGAGATTGGAAAAAAATCATGGCAATTAAATCCGACATCTCGCAGTTTAGAAAACCAACCTCCAAATCTTCAATCACGCCATCTAACGACCATTCAAATACTCAAACTTGCTAAGGCTCACATTTGCCTACTTACACTTTTCAGTGTCACCAACATGTAATAATTAAAACCATACCTTTTTAATTCTGTATAGTTCGTGGCTTTTGCGAATGTTCACATCAGCCAAGCCATGCTTTTGAATATCCTACACGACTCTTGCAATGTTAACACGTCCAACTCCGACCAAACTCAATTAGGTAGAGGATAATTGCCACACAGAGTGTATTTCCAAACAATATCAACAATTGTAAAAGAAAATAAACAATGCAAAGCGCTGTTGATGTCTCATAAGTCGTCAGTGGTGTATCTAATCAAGCAATCGTGCGAATAGCAAAAACAAAAACTCGATACTGGAGGATCCACGTAGCATGCGAGCAGCAATGAGCCTAGGGTGAGTCACCGGACACCTCACCGCTTGAGCTGACAGGGACGTCCTTCTTGGTGAACTGGAGAGCGAATCGCAGCACTTCGCGACTGGTTATGAGGTAGTTGTCTGCGAGCCAATAGAAATCACGCACGTTGGATCCCGTTTAAAAAGGAAACTTCGCCAACCTGGAGTCTTTCGCGCGCACACACACACACTACTTACTGAGGGACAAACTGATAGGCATGCAATCGAGGCGTGCTAAACACAAGCAATCTTGCTGTTGCATGACACCCAAGTACCTGAGTGAACGGGAGTACCATAGCAGTCACGCACAAATCACGCATCGTTCGCATTTGAGACGAAAAATCAGTCAAAACTCACTTGCGTCATTATTGTCACTCTTGACAACCACGTACGGTCTGATGGTGAGGAAGTGGGCAATTTTGTCAACTCCGTCCGTTCGTTCCACCTTGAAACGCAAAATGAGTGAGCTGCGAATCACTACTTAGGCGCACCCTAGTAGTAGTAGTCTGCACTCGCGCATATTAAGACTTTTTCGCGATTACTACCGCCATTAAGCGGACTTGGCGAGTGTACTGCCAGAAATGACTAAAGCGTTGTTAGCCAATACTACCCCACGTTGTGGTCAACTCTTACCGTCCTGAACTGCGTGTCTGCGACTTTGATGATGGAGTCTTCGGGTTGGCAGTCACCTTTCAAGAGCTTCTCCAGGGCCATTTTACTGCTGAACACACCGACGACCTTCTCACTAGGGTGTGAAAAACATTTGTTCTTATTGGACAATGCAGGGGTCTGAGGCAGGCCTTTTAGCCGATATCGATTATAATTCGTATCGCAGAAGATTTTAGAAATAAAGCCTTTCCCGTGAATGCTCTGCTATGTTGGTAAGATTTAAAAACGTAAAAGGGCTTGTAATTGCCATCGTGAATACCGTCATTGACACAAAACAGAACATGCGGAAGACTTACTCCTGAGTAACTAGAGCCAAGTCTTCTCCTGTTAAGGCTAATGCACGGGGTATAGTGACACTGCTGTCCAAATATGTTGTTGCGTACATTTTTCCAGACATCAGGAATTTGCCCACTGAGATTCTGGTCAACCTAGTATGGAGTAAATGTGTTGTCTACTGAATATACAAAGTAGCCATTACAGGGGCAATCAAACAGCTGCACATGAAATCTCAAGTCAAGTCAAAGCAAGCACAAAGCACATGAACCAATGATTTACGGTTCAATAAACTCGTTCGCCTCGGGTTCAGAGTTAAATCCCGACGCATGCAACCAATCGTCAGACAAAAATTTCGACCTGAAATACAAAGCACAATGGTAAACAGCCCAGTTAGTTTATTTGCAGGAAACTGCTGGTCGTATCAGGTGCGACGTACGTGTAGTTGCGCGCAGAGTCAGGCAAGATAACCACAACACGGTGGCCCTTGCCGAGTTTGTAATGCCTGATGGCTTGAATGGCGGCCCAAACGACGCTTCCACTGCTTCCACCTGGAAGGAAAGAAGTAGTTCACAGAGACGAACCAAACCACATTGCATTTGGAGACACCAAACCAACCAACCAGCAATGACGTGGCTTACCAGCAAGAAGGCCTTCCTCGTTCATGAGTCGACGCGCCATTTTGAAGGTGTCGTGGTCGCCCACTCGAACCCAGTGATCGACGATTTTGCGGTCAAGCACTGTGGGGACAAACTCGTATCCGATGCCCTCCACCTCGTACGGACCGTCGTAGTCGTCCACGCCGAGGCTGGCGTCACCCAGCCGTGACCCCTTCGGTTCCACTGCGACAATCTGTAATGGGAGAATTCTCAGTTAACCACCAGCTCAGTGCCCGGTGCAAAACGGTTGCCGCCCCCGCAAAAGACTGCATGTCCTAACAATCCATCATCACGATTTGCCTTAACAATAATACAAGCTGACCTCAGCTGGCCACTAAACGGGTTAATAGCATTTTGGTTAATCCACGGATGTAAATATTGCAGCTTTGTTTATTCGCTCGTCAGCTGACTGTCGGATTAAGGTCTCAGAAAATAAGGATCAAAAGATTACCCGTTTGTAAAGAGGTCCTAAATGTAGTAAATTAGCCACTTATCATGGCCTTAGAAAACCTTTACTATGTCGACGTACCGGAATTCTTGAGTCGCTAACAGGGGTTGTACAGTCTGGATTATTTAAAGAGGAACAAAAAGTGTACTATATGAAGCCCCCTAATCAAGCTCCCCTGGCTTCTCACAACGCGCAAAAGTCAAACGTCCAACGTCATTTTCGAGGTAAATACGGAAACAGATTAGCCTTGTGGCACACTTGACCTCTCACGCACCTTGCACGAGGGAATTTTTTCCTTGAGGAAACGTCCGATTCCGCTGACTGTTCCACCGGTTCCAGCACCGACGACGATCATGTCCAGCCGAGGCTTGCCGTCCGGCTCGCCGTGAGCACAGGCCTCGAGAATTTCCGGGCCTGTGGTGTCGTAGTGCGCGATGGGATTGTAGGGGTTAGAGTACTGGTTGGGAATGTGCGAGCGTTCGCCCAGCTCCTTCTTCAACTGGAATGCGCGTTGAAAGTGAGAACGGGGGTCATTCATTGGCGCATCCCTCGGCGTCCGAATAACCTCAGCCCCAAGGCCTCGCAGAATGTTGCTCTACAACAAGACAACGTACAGCCTCAAGCAGTGCTAATGACCACCCAGACAGAGCCAGAATGCCAACAGACAAGCTAGGTAATTGCTGAGGTAACACTTGTCACCGCGAGCGAGAAAATGCATTCCCCAACGTGACTCACCTTCTCTTGACTCATTTTGTCTGGCATTGTGATCTTGCATCCATACCCCTTCACGGCAGCGGTCATGGCGATTCCGATGCCTTCAATGAAGATATAGAATTGTGCTCTCATCAGATGCAGTGAGAAGAATAATATTAAACACTGCCCTTCAATTGTTACCTGTATTGCCGGAAGTCGGTTCGATCAGGATGTCACCGGGCCTGTAGAGGCCAGATCTTTCACCCTCCTCAACCATGCGCTTCCCGATTCGGTCTTTCACACTGCCTCCAGGATTCAAGAATTCGCACTTTGCAACTGAATAGGAAAATTACATTTTTTACATGTCACGTGGTTTTCCACACATAACATTAGTGTGCAATCCCATGTTTTTTACTACTTTCGGCTATTTTTGTGAAATATACACTTTTAATTGCCACTTGTGTTGTCAAGCGAATTTGTGCACATAAACACCAGAGCATTCTAAGCTAACAACGAAAATTATGTGACACTGAACAGCGGTCAAATCACTATTCACTGAATGAACACGATTCAGCGTGACTTGTTCTAAAATTGTACACCAATTATAGCTCTAGCGAAAGCTTTTGCGATCAGGTTGGTTTTGGTTTGGGAAGAATGCGTTATGAAAATCTAAAGTACCTAACAAGCTTTGAATCATAAATTAAAAAGGCTTAGGGCGCAATTCACAAACAACGTTTTTTTAACTTTTCATGCGGTTTGTATTTTAAAACACAAAATTATTTAATACTCCGGCTTCACTACTAAACTGAAATGCCCTCATTCAGGAAAACCCCTTATCACAATACCACAAAATCCATGGTTATTAGTGGAACTTTGTTGCAGACGTAAGAAATCAAACACGAAATTTCAGGCAATGGCATTAAATTTAACATAGACCCACAAAATAAATGTCACTATTGTGTACAAAATATAGGAAGGGAAGAACTCTTTCACTGAAAGATCTTACGTATTTCACATTCAACGTTCTCTGTTTTAGGTATCTTGTTCAGTCGAACTAGTGGAGTATCACCAACGAGATCAAGAACATTCGAAGCAATCATTGGACGCCCTATTCTGTAAAGCTCTCTATAAAAAAATATCTGATGACCGAGAAAGTCACAAAACACTGACTAATTTTTACTGCTTACTTGGGTATATGGTAGTGTGGAGACTCTACTTCGGAACCCGAATCGTAGTAGCCGCATTGACTTGGAGCGTCTGGACTCCTCCATAACTCTTCAGGTACATGCACAGCCCTAAAACAAAGTTGATGCGTCTAGTAACACGTAGCGTGCTATAAAAAAAGTTGTCTAAAAAAGCGAACAACTACAAATAGCACAAGGTGCACATTTTGCTGTAAAGGAGAAAATAATATGTGACGGAAATGCTAATTAGTTCTTCATAAGTCAACTGCCTCAAAGAATTTATATAGCTTTATCAATGATTAGAATCAATGATTAGGATTGCAAATATTTATCATAAATATTCAAAGCAGAAAAATTATACCTAATGTATAATGTAAATTTCTTCTGTAAACAGATTTACTAGCAAAAAAGCTATTGTTTACACTTTTTGGAATGTATTCAGTTTTAAAGCTTACATGATCCAAAAGTTCACGACGATCTCAAGTACTAAACGGAAATTATGCGAGAGCTTTGGTCAACTTTCTTTCTTAATATTAGTACATTAAAACAGCTTGGAAAATTTTTACGAATAAACGCAGTAAACCAAATTCTAGGCTCCATTACAGATTTAACGAAAAGATTTTTAAAAATGTCAATAATTAAATGACTAGTAAAACCTAGTGCATTACATTACATTAAACCAAAAACCAATATTTATAATGACGAAAGTCAAATTAATATTTTTATAAGATATTATGACTCAGAAAATACCAAATCCATCCTATCAGAACAAAAGTTTCGGCAACTATAGTAATATGTCAGGCGAAATTTTTTATATATGATGGTCAAGCGATATTGTAACTACAGAATTTGTGAAAAGTGTGTCGGTTATTTACCGTGATTCCGTATTAGTAATTCTGCTCAGTGCCATGTTTTTTGCCTCTAGAATTTAGTTATTGCAAAAACTACAATCCGCGCACTGATTTATAAGTCAAGTTGAATTGCTTCACGCTTACCATATTCCATTAGGTGTTTTGCGATGTAAATCACGAAAACAATCTAATATTATCGAAGAACGTCTCCGCGTAAAAAAGCATCTTTCCTATATCACATTTTCCTTACTCATGCTCCCTAAAGCTGGACTCCAAAACAGTAAAACTGTGCTCCAAATTTCTAGGTTGAAAATAAATGCCTAATTAAATGAAAAGTGCTTAACGTTCTTTTTACTGACACAATTTTTCCCAAAATCATTTAGGTTTTGTTAGTGGCAAACTGCAGCGACGTAGGTTTTCCTATTTATATCGTCTAAAATTTTTAGCTTTTGTTTTATTTTTCTTTTTTATGGAGCGCAATAACAAGTACTCTCCTGGATTATCGAGTTGTCCAATTAGAAATGGATGGTGAAAACGCGAAATTCGACATATCTGACGTCGTAAACACGCTGAAAAAAATTGAAGCCTATGTCGCATCTGCTAGAAGGCAACTTGAAGAAACGTCTCATAAACGTAAGCTTCCCAATTTTTTTAAAAAAATTTTCACGTCTCCCTTTTTATACTGTTACTTAGTATGGGTACTCCTGTCCCCTCATTAGCCACTGTAGTGTTATTGTCCCAAAAAACTCTAATATGTCACTGATTACTTGTCCGGAACGGCTGTCATTCTTAGCTTTACTTGCTTGCTAGTATTATGAAATATGTCTTATAAAATTTTCTAAGTATACGTTCTTTTGGTCATACCTATCTCCTTAGTTATGATATTGAGGAAATGATCATGAAAAAAAGCCGTTAATACTCATTTTGGAAGCAATATCTGTAGGCATGTTGCCATCCCTTTACATAGTTTCCCGAGTGCCCTCGACTGAGGCAGCAATGTAATGCTTTGTTTTTGCTTCAAGGCATTGAACAGCTACTACAGAATTCCAAAGTTGTTTGTGGCCCGTCTTTACGACCATATCAACTAAAAGGTATAAGTTGGATTCTTGCGCTCTACGAAAACGGACTCAATGGAATTCTTGCTGATGAGATGGGGCTGGGCAAAACGGCTCAGGTATATCGTCATTTTTATCAGCGGCGTAGTGTTCAACTTAACGTATACATACGTATGACTGCTTAGGTTGAGTATTTTCTTAGTAGCATAATTTACGAGGAATGTATTTACCCTAGAACATAGCCTGTTTTGGGTGCAAATTCGAGACATTAAATTTGAGTGTCTATCTGGTATCCTTCATTAACATGGCAAACGCCTTGGTCTCTTTGATAACAGTCGTCATAAGTAAGATATTTAGCATTTGTTTCGTAGAAATGTTTTACATCCTGATTCTGCCTACAACTATTTTAGATTATTTCTTCGATAGCCCTTATGGCCGAAACAGGAGCTTCAGGACCATTTCTTGTAGTCGTGCCCCTCTCCCTTCTCCACAGCTGGTCAGAACAAATGAACATCTTTGCTCCTGACCTTCCGCATGTTGTCTACTACGGCACTAACGAAGAGCGGATTGAGTTGCGGAAGCAAATTAAGACGAACCAAAATCTAGGGGATGATGCAATTTCAACGGAGAGAGTTGAGCGGAAAAGCTTTTCTGATCGCAAATCGACTCAGTCTGACTCTTCCTCCGTCTCGTCTACCGGTAGAAGGTTCAAAAACCACCGGAAAGACGCCGCGTTGAGCACAGATTCAGAAGCCACTTGTTTAGATATCTCCAGAGACCAAGTGAACAGGCTGTCTGAAGTTAAAAAACATCCTAAAAAGCGGACCCACAAAGAAACTGGGAGCAGTGACATGTATGACAGTGCTTCGTCTCTTAGCAACCACTCAAATAAGAAAAATCTGCGGCTTTCATATGTTGGTGTTTCTGTTGAAGCTAAAAATCCCCTTGAAAACGCTACCGAAACGAACCTGAAGTCTGTCGTGTTTTCAAATCACCCTAAAAGTGATATTATCCTGAACGAAAATCCGAGTTGCGAGGCCCCTCAATTTATTGGTCCAGCTGTAGTCAGCACGCCCTCAATACAGATGCCTGTCTGGAAAGCAGGTCTGTTATCGATTACGTTTGCATCACCTGTTGTGCAACCTAAAAGTGACGAATGTGCACTGCACCATCTGGACGCTATTACTGACTCAATTATTTCACGAAAACGCTTCAACCCTCAGCTTGCACTCAAACGTGTACACCGAGAGTCTAAAGAGTGTCCAAATGAGTACATTGACACCATTTGTTCCCTCCCCACTCCCAAACCTCTGTCAACCCCTCTGTCACAACCGCCGGCAAGTCTTCCCAAACCAAGAAAGGCACCAAGGAGATTGTCTCCACGTGTTCTTCCTGTAAGCAATCCTAACCATCTGACCAATCTTGATGCAGTAATAGATGACGTGGTAGCAGGTGCTGGTTCGTTTCCACTGGCGCATGCTTGTGGTGGGGCATCGTCCGACTTATCTGTGGATATCTTCAAAGACACATTAAGCTCATGCTGTGCAATAACGAAGTCTGAGTTTATTGGCAAACCGCCAATTGAAGGAAGTCGATTACATACCACTGAAATGGGCATTAGATCACCGAACGAGATATTTGTATCACGGAACGCATTCAAAGATCCAATAGATAAGGCAGTGGAGATATCATCTGGAGATTTTAAACCGAGTGAATTGTCCTTGGACTTGGATGAAATGCCATCTAAGCACACAGACGAGTCTGTTCATGTTGATGGACATTTGCCACTGAACTTTGGAGGGTCATCGTACGTGAAAGATCAGTCAATCGCAACCGAAGTCACTGCGCCTCTACCCCCTAAATCTTCCAAACGGCATTTGTCGGAACAAGAAAGTTCGTGTGCTCATTTCCCACCGCAATTGGATATTACGGCCAATGCTCCTCATGGAGTTCCAAGTCTTCTGCGCCCCTCTGTAGACGATTCTCAGAAACAACTGCACACTGTTGAAGACGCAAATGCAATCAGGCTCAGATCAGGTCAGGATTCCACGAATCTTCTGAATAGAAGTGTGGTCTACGACTTCAGTAAGCCATCCAGCTTGGTGAATGTCACTGACCCTTGCACAGCTTTGTTTACAATGAAGGAAAAAAGTGTTGCTGATGGATGTGTAATCTCTCGGAAATCCTTTGTTGATGTTGCTGTTAATGATGTTACTATGAAAATTGAAGATTCCCGTCCAGTCGTGCACAAAGAAGTTGATTTAGGCCGTTGTTCTGACGTATCGTCGGGTTCTTTTCTCATTTCAAACGACTCGTCCAATTGCAAGGCAGAGGCTGAAGCACCAAGCTCATTTGGACACCACGAGGGAATCCACGTCAGCCTCATTAAAGAACCGCAGCCAATGGAATTGGAAAATGTTGGAGGTAGTCGTTGTGAGGTTCCGAAACCCCAGTGCTTCGGTGTTGACGATTCTCTGAAAGAACCCCAAATTGCACCTGAAGATATCACTGTCGAAGATACGAATGCAGTTGAGCTTCAATTTGATCAAGATTCAAAGAACATTTTTAATGGAAATGCGCACCATGACCTTGGTAAACCATGCAACGTAGTGAATGTCACTGATTTTCGCGCTGTACCCTTCTCAATCAAGCATAAAATTAGCTTTTTTGAGCATATTGACGACGGTGATAAGGATGTTAGCCCCCAGAGACCTTTAATTGATAGTGCCATCAGTGAAGTCCCTGTGAAAGCAGAAGATTCCAACCTGATTGCGCAAAGAGAAGTAGGGTTAAACCCTTGTCCTAATGCATCGTCGAATCACCCAATTCTCGTGCCTAAAGACCCAGCTGATTGCAAGGCAGTAGTTGAAGCACCCACCGTCTCAGCACATCAAAAGGATCTCCTCGTTAGTCAAATCAAAGAACCACAGCCAATAGAAGTAGAGAATCGTGGTTCTAGTCTTCGTGAGGTTCCAAATCCTCAACTGTTTTGTGTCAAAGACTCTCTGAAGGAACCCCAAATTACACCCGAGGGTAACACCGTCGACGACAAGGACGCAGTTAAGTTTCAATCCGATCGAGATTCCAAGAATCCTGGAGGAAATGCAGGTTGTGAATTTAGTAAACCACTTAGATTTGTGAATGTCACTGATTTTCAAGCAGCAGCTTTCTCCAAAATAGCTGATGCTGTTGAAGGTGTTAACTCCCAGAAATCAATAGCTGATGCTGCTGCGAGTAGAGTCCCTGTGGATAGAAAAAATTCTAAGTTGAGCTCACAAGGAGAAGTGGAGGTAATCTGCTCTTCTGGCGTATCGTCCAATGCTCCGATTCCTCTGCTAAAGGACTCGTCCGATCGTCAGACAGTGGCTAAAGCGCCTACCGTATCTGGGAACCAGAAGGAACCTCTCGCTTCCCCTATTGCAGAACCACAGCCAATAGAAATGCAAAATGTTGGTGCTAATCTTCTTGAGCTTCCGAATCCTCAGTGCCTCTGTGTTGAAGACTCTCTGAAAGAACGCCTAACTACACCCGAAGACATCATTGTTGAAGACACGAATGCAGTCGAGTTTCGATTAAATCAAGACTCTAAGAATCTCCTCAATGGAAAAGTGGACCAAAAGTTAAGTAAACCATGGAACTTGGTGAATACCACTGACTTTCGCGTGGCACCTTGGTCAAGCAAGAAGAACATTAGTTCTTTCGAAACCAAGGACAATGCCGATGAGGGCTTATGTTCCAGGAAACCATTAATAGACGTTTTTGCTGGAGCGTTTTCTATAGAAACTAAAGATTACAACTCGAGCGTGCAGTGTGCGGTAGAGTCAAGCCGTTATTCCATAATCCCCGGGTCAAATGACTTGTCTAATTGCGAGGCAGTGGCTGAAGCATGCACCGTCTCAGGACACCAAAGAGAAGTCATTTTCAGCCAAATTGAGAAATCACAACCCACGGAAAGGAAGACGTTTGGTACTAGTCTTACTGCGGTTCCAACATCGCAGTACCCCTCTGTTAACAATTCTCTGAAAGAATCCCAAATTACACCCAAAGACAGCGCCGCCGACGACACAATGGCAGTAGGGTCTCAATCAGGTCGAAATTTCAAAAATCTCACCGTGGATATGGACTGTGAGTTGAGTAAACCACTTAGATTGGTGAGTGTCACTGACTCTCGCACAGCGCCCTTCTCAACCGAGGAGAAAAGTAGGTCTTCTGAAAACAAAGACGATGCCACTGAGGTGGTAAGCCTTGGGAAACCGTTAATTGATTCTGCTGTTTGTGATTTTCCAGTAAAACAAGACGCCCTCGACTTGAACGCACACGAAGCAGTTGATTTAATTCGTTGTTCTAATTTACCAGCGAGTTCCGCAGTCTCCGTGTCAAATGACATGTCTAATTGCGAGGCAGTGGCTGAAGCATCCACTATCTCGGGAAACCAGAAAGAACCCATTTTAAGCCAAATTAAAGAACCACAACCCGTGAAAGCGGAAAATTCTAGTGCTAATCTTCCTGAAGTTCCAACTTCTCAATGCCCTTCTTTTAAATCCCAAATTAAAGCCGATGACAGCATTGTTGAAGACGCGAATGCAGTTGATTTTCAATCAAGTCAAGATTCCAAGAGCCTCTTCAATGGAAACGCGGGCCATGAATTCGGCGAAGCATCTAAATTGGTGAATGCCATTGACTCTGAGGCAGCTCCTTTCTTGGGAAAACAGAAAGCCTGCTTTTTTGAGCATACTGATGATGTTGAGGGGGATATCGGTTCAAGGAAGCCTTTTATTGATCCTGCCGTTGGTGACTTTCTAATGAAAACAGAGACTTATAACTTGAGCACGAATTCTTCGATCCCTGTTTCAAAAGAATCTGCGAATTCCAAGGCAGTGGGTAATAATCTCGCTAATCAAACTACTGAACCTCAACAAATGAGAACAGAAGATGCTGGTGTTGTCGAAGTTGTGTCTCTCAATGTGGATGACAGTGGACTGGCCGTCAGGAACAAGTCTCAGGAACTTCTCTCCCCTAAGCCGCCACAAGACACCCATGAATGCAAGACCGTCAACACGATTAGTGAACCTAGGTGTCTACTCCCTGTCGTCATCACAACCTACGAAGTAGCTATTCGCGACTGCTCCTTCCTCAGTAAAATCAACTTCAAGGTGAGCTCACTCAGTTTGTTTTGGATGTCTTCGAGGCGTTGACCTCGCTCCTTACACAATAATCTCTTTATCTCGTTTCACAGGCAATGATCGTTGATGAAGCCCAGAGGATCAAACGTGCTACTTCAAAACTCTACCAGTGTCTCCAGACCTACGACTCCGATATTCGACTCGTGGTCACCGGGACGCCTCTCCAGAACAGCATCTCCGAACTCTGGACACTTCTGCACTTTGTCCTACCGGAGATTTTTCCAATGGTTGCCCATTTTGCTGTAAGGGTCACTGGTTAACTGTATCGCAGGGCAATTTGCTCAAAAAATCTGTCGTTAATTGCAGTCCTGTTGTGGTGAAGACCAGAATCGCTATCGTGACTGGCACGCTCAAGTCATAATAGTAGCTACCACATTTTATGGCTAAAGTAGCGGTACACTTGGACTGTAAGTTACGTCACTCTCTGATTGGGCAACTGATGTTAATCGTGATTGGTCAGCCCACATCGTCTAATGGGTGGCGCGTAACTTTGAGTTCTGCATTTCTGCCTGCAGGAGTGGTTCGACCCAGTGAGTCTAGTGGAACAGGTCGGTCGCGATCGTCTAGTTGCTCAGGAGGCGGAACACGCCCTCGTCACCAACCTCCGCAACATCGTCCGTCCCTTCATCCTCCGACGCACCAAGGCCGAGGCAAACGTCGAGCTACCACCCAAACGCGAGGTTGTGCTTCGCGTCCGCATGACGCCTGACCAACAGGTTGGCGGAACGTGTGTGGTGTCCGTGCTGTGCTGAACGCCTTCTTACTGGCCGCTTTCTTCTTATTTCTTCTTTTTCAGGCACTTTACAACTACGCCCTGCAGAAGTTGCTCAAAGACGGAGCTCTCCTGACTCCGACGAAATTCGCCACTGGCAGCATCTCGCGGCTCGATGTTAAGAACATCCTACCGCGTTGCCGTCGAAGTTGCGTCAGTAGCGTCTCCAGCTTCGCCGACTGCACCTCCAGTTCGAGGTGCGTGGGCGTCTATTTCGTTTGAAGCAATGGAATGCACCCTAGAATGTTGTTAAATCTTTGTGTTTTGCGTCTTCTAGCAGCGATTGTCGGGCCTCTCCGCACCCCAGGAAACGAGGTCGACCACGCAAATACCCGAAAGCACCAGACATCGTAATCTCTTCCGACGAAGCACGTTACACAGAAGTAATTCCTCATGCGAAACTCACACTTCAAGACTACTTCAACACATTACTACTAATCAAACGCTATTTTTAAGATTCCAGCGAGCCAGACCAACGCAGAAGTGACCTCACTCATGCAAGAGGGCTACAGTTTCTCCAGGGACGCAGTTAACACCTCCAAGTTGATGCTTCTTCGAAAGATCGTCAACCACGCGTCGCTGGTGTTGGAACGGCCCGGAATGATGGATCTGTGCTCAGCCTCCCAGGATAGCGAATCGAACGAAAAATCGATACACGAGCTTGTTCGCATGAGTGGGAAATTGCTACTTCTTGATCGACTCCTACAAAAACTTGTCGCCAGTGGGCACAAAGTAAAGCTATCGATTTATCGATTTTTCTCTCACTGGTGTTGGCCACGTGCGCACGGTCTGCACTCATCAGCTGACACCGCGGTACCAGAGGACTTAAAATATCAACAACCGATAGTCATTGTTAGGCAAATTAAATCGACCTTAAAAATTGTCATTTTTTCGTGAGTGTCTGATGGTGGTTTGAAACGATTTAAAAATCGGAAAATCTGAAATAAATGTTGCTGAGCAGTAAAACGCCACATTCTGACCATCTTAATGCACCGGGTTAGAGGTGTAATTCCCTTTGACAAATATCTTTCTGGTTGTAACTCCGTGTTTGTGCAAAATCATTCCAGACTCTCGTCTTTTCGCAATTCACGATGGTCCTGGACGTGATTGAGGACTTGTTGGTGGCGCGTAACTTGAATTGGGTGCGTCTGGATGGTTCGACGCGGTTTGACACGCGTCAGGCTGTTGTGCATCGTTTCAACACCACCAGCTCTGCCGAGTTGGCGGTGTTCTTGCTCTCCACTCGCGCAGGCGGCCTGGGTCTGAACCTTCAGGCTTCCGCCGACACCGTCATCATTCACGACGCCGATTGGAACCCTCAGCTCGACCTTCAGGCCATGGACAGGTGAGCAGCTCGAACTCGACTAGTTTTCCCAAGTCCGCGTCGACGTATTTTAGCAGCGCATATTTCCACATTCTGATCACTCCTGGAAGTTCCGTCTTGGACCCAAAGTCAGCAGGAAACAGACTTGTTGATTGGCTTCCACAAGTCGATTGTTAAAAGCTTGCTTTTCGTCGTGTTACAGCGTTCGAAAACACGATCTTCTGTACTTGGCTATTCCTGAACGGCACGTGCGACCTAAATGTCCAGATACACATTCTAGAAGACACTCGATTCCGATGGCTGTCGTTGATCCTCTTCCTCCTTCCAGGTGTCATCGTCTGGGCCAAGAGAAGCCAGTTCTGGTGCTCCGCTTTCTCACGGCGTCCTCAGTCGAAGAGGCGATTTATGCTCGTGCCTCGGCCAAACGCGGTCTCGAACGCTTGTTCCTCCACCGCGGCAACCGCAAAGCACCCAAGGTAGGTCAAATTTGAGAATAAATGCGTGGTTAGTGGTGTTTTTTTGGCTTTGTTCTCTCTTCCTACGAGTAGAAATATGGTTTTTTGTGAAAGTTTGGTCTTTTTTTAGCAGACTGGCGTGCCTCACAGCGAGCCGGAGGCTACCAGCGATTCACAAGTTGCGTCGAGTCAGCGCGACGACGAGGTGGACCTCCTCCAACTCCTCGACTACTCTGACACTGTCGCAGAGCCGGTGGTGGACGCCTCTGCCCTCACTGACGAGGAGATCGACCGATTGCTAGATAGGTCAGCTGCGCGTCATCGACAACCACACCTTCGTTCAGGGTCTATCTCATTATCATTATTATTTCGGTTGTAGGAACTTCGACGGAACGAGTTCCTGTGTTCAACGGAGTGTTCCTCCGCAAGATGGTCAGACTAAACAGCCAACTCCTACGACATCTTGTAGGGAGCATTCTTTGTCGAAGTCTCCGACGAGTGGCCCTGATCAAATTCCACGACCCTTATCACCTGAGACGAGGTTGCCTGCTCTAGATACAATTAACGAGGTGACAAATCGACCACAGGCCACTTTAGACTTCATTGCTGAGCGGCTGCTAGATAGGTCAGCTGCGCATCATCGACAACCACACCTTCGTTCAGGGTCTATCTCATTATCATTATTATTTCGGTTGTAGGAACTTCGACGGAACGAGTTCCTGTGTTCAACGGAGTGTTCCTCCGCAAGATAGTCAGACTGAACAGCCAACTCCTACGACATCTTGTAGCGATCAGTCTTTGTCGAAGTCTCCGACGAGTTGCCCAGATCAAATTCCACGACCTTTACCACCTGAGACGAGGTTGCCTGCTCTAGACACAATTGACGAGGTGACAAATCGACCACAGGCCACTTTCGACTTCATTGCAGAGCGTGTCAAAGCGCTCTTTTCAGCCCCCTCAAATCTAGGCTGCAAAACCGTGCTTTGTCAACGCAAAACGCCTTGTCCTGGCTTTGGTGACCGTCCACGACGCCAAATATCTGTTCACAACAGTGAGTCCAACGGAAGCGGCCCAGGAAAGTCTCTAATTGTATCCTCACCACTTCCACAGTCAGTCTGTCTTCAAGCCCATCAATCGCCTACTTTCTCCGCATCCCCCAAGCGTGAAGCTGCGATCGGCGTTGAAATGAGCGTCGGCCGTACCGTGGGTCTGTCCAAAGGCCTTCACTCCATCGCTCCATCGAGTGACGTCCATCTGCGGAGGGCTTCAATTGACAAACCTGAAGGCAGTGCTAAAAAGAAAGTTGGCCGTCCGCCCGGCACCTTCAAGAGCCTACGGCCACCGCCCGAACCCACTGCTAGACAACTCCGCAGTTCTCCTGTCGGTGGAGGTCTGCCTGCGTGTGGAAGCCCCTCTCCACAACTCCAACCTCCCACGTCCTCGAGTGCCAAAAGACCCAGGGGTCGACGTCCAGGCACATTCATAGCTCCTCGTCCAGCCATTGGCCAACTCTGTGGTCATTCGTCAGCGGAAGGTCAACAAGGGCTTCATTGTGCGCCTTCGTCATTATCATCATCAGCATTGTCAGGTGATGGGACCTCCCCCAGCCTTCCAGCGAACCCGTCAAGCGCCGGTTTGAGGAGGGTGGGCTTGACCCGCCTAGGCCTCAGACGAAAGGGGATCCCTAGCGCTCTCCTCAACTTGCCGCGCATCAAAGCGGCAGCTCTAGAACCGAAGGTGGTCGCGGAGGAATAAACGATGCGTCGCGTTGCCTTCGTGTGGATGGGTTTTTTCCTTCTTAATCTTTTACACCTAACTTGTAGAAATGTTTGCATAAATGAAGTGAGTTTGTATTGCCAACCTCCTCTTGTTGCTAAAGACTTCCTTGTCGTAGGTTATGGCAAAAAAATTCGACTGATTTATTTGAAGTAAGGCAGTGGAACAGTAAATAGGACTGCAAAAATATGTATATATATACGGACAGTGATAAAGGCGATCGTTGCATTATACAAATTACTTCATTGGTAGGCAGCTTCCTGAGAGACGTTCAGCTAAAAAAAAACAAGAAATAAAACAGGTTGGTTGGACGTCCTACGAGTACCGTCAACCTGTAGCTTGGGGGGTCATTCTTAGTATTAATTCAAATGAAAAGGCTACTTATAAATGTGTAAGTAGGTATTTCTGTGCAAACGATATAGTGAGCTTGGGAGCTGATCATTGCAGGAATATTTTAATACAGTATTCCCGACTGCCTCACAAATGAGGCGCAAAAGTAGTGCTGTGATGTTTCCTTAAGAACCTTTGCGTGGCACTCATTGCTACGAAAGCAAGATATTTAGGTCCTTCTTTAAATGCATCGATTTCGAACCGCGCCATACAAATTACCGTGTTGCAACAATATTGGAAACCAACGACGCCAGAAGAGGCATTGCCTCGACCTCGGATGAGCGCCCGTCCTCAAATTGTCCGTGTCGAGAATGAGAAAGACTTCAGTCTCGTTGTCGAACTCCTGCCAGCGACGCATTCGCAGGTGGTGTGGCAGGCAAGTGGAGGAAGCATCCAGGGTCAAATCGGCGCCCACCGAGCTTTCCCACGATTGTGGCTCTCTACCAACTTTCCTCGACTTCTCTTCGTCCGAATTCACAAATTTTCCATTCGGAAGGAGGTTTGGGTCCCTAACGAAATACTAGTGATTACCGGAGTGAATTAATTTTTTACGCCCAGAGTGTTTTTACTATTGCTCAAATAAGGTAAAACTAATTCACATCAAATCTTACTCAAAACGTTATCTTTAGCATAATTAATTTGTCTTTAACCTACGCTAACTAATAAACGAAAAAAAAAACAAAATATTACAAGATTTATTGTCATGGGTAAGGTTAGTTGTGAAGACCAGCCAATTAAAAGTGCCTCCTTAATCCTTTTGGTGAGATACATTTGCGTAGCTTTGATTGATTCACACTATCACCGAATTGGTGTTGGGTCTGGCCGTAGCGCAGTTCATCACACGCGAACTGCAGTGTGGCGGACGTAGATTTTGCAATCATGAAATGCAGTCTAGACACTCTGAAGCACCAAATTGTCTTAATTTACCCTGTCCGCGCAAAGTTCGTCCAATACGTCATCATCTTGTCACTGAGTTCGCGTTCAGCGTCCGTGAAACGGTAGTAGTTCTCGGCGAACACCGGTGAGTAGGGCATGCCAAAAACATACTCTATCTCGTAGCCATGCATGGTACCGGCCCATTTTGGCCACGGCAGCGATTCTGTGCGGTGGACGAACTCATAGAAGTACGTCGGACGCGTGATGCTGCGCAGCGCCGGCTTCCAGTGTGCTGGTCGGTTCTGGTTGACCAGAGCCTGGGCAAAGTCAATTGCTGGACACTTGAAACTTCGGTCACTGCTTATCGCCTCCAGCATTCGAGTCCAGGTGTGGGGATTTAGCTGGAAACAAGGCAGACTACCTACACACCCGTTCATCACATTTTAGTAGCTATACCTTTAGTTTTACCGATAAACGTGGAATAGGAATCAAGATTCTTGATGAGATATTATTAAACTCATTCAACAGAAGCATGCCAAATAGGCGCCTGAATGTCATCATGCAGTTTGTAGAACAACAAGGCTTTTGGAAATTAGGTGGGATTTCAGACTGGTTTGGTGCAAATCACATAATCCCGCTAAGTATCCTCTTTAAAACACAGAAATATGGTCTACAATAGGACAAATTTTGGTATTGGCTGAATCAAACTGGAGCTAAGGTGTGAAATCACATTTAAACCAACCAACTTCGGTTCTGCAAAACAATCGATAATCCTTAGTTGCTACATTTAAAAATGTCTTGTGACTCTGCCAATCACCTTTTTTAATTGTGTTAAAGTAGCTCAAGGCTTATTTAAGTGCGCTAACTTATCAATAAATGTTAAGAGTTAGCCTTGAGTTATCGTTGTTTTAATCGGCGTTAAGTAACGCTCAACGCGATGAGCGGTTTTTATGTACAACTATAACTAAATGTATTTATTTTTGATATCCATGGAGCTGTACACTCACCCTTTTCACCAGTTTTTGTTCTTATGTCAAAGTTCCGCATGAATAGAATGAGGTCAACAAACCCTACGTAGTCTGGCTAACGTTAAAGTTAGTTTCTGTGGAAATTTGGGCCAATTAAATTTGACTTCGTCTGGATGCTGGAAGCGGGTGGGCCACAAACTTCTCTCAAACCCTACAACTCTTCAAAAGTGACAGGTTTGGTTGAGGTGGCTAACTCATTCCTATTTCAAACCTCAAATCCATTGTCATAGAAACCGTCTTTCTCAAGGTCAAGGAATTTAACACCTTTTTGGGGGTTCAACACAATTAAATGCTTTTCAGGTCTGTTTATTTTACCCACCTATCTGGGGAACTCAACTTGCAAATAGCCAATTAAAATTATTTGAATTATGAAGTAACCGTTGCAAAATCAGTATTTTATCCCCTTTCTTCCGTCCCTCATTTATCTTTCCGCCGTTCGGCACTTTTTCGCTTCATAATTACGGTTAGGTGTTTTGTGATTGAGAAACACACTTAGGCGTGCCATTATTTCATTCAAGTCAGGATGGCGTCGAAATAAGGGAAATAACGTAAAATTCTGGAAGCCCAAGCGTACACCCTGTTCGTTCACGACTATTTACGATAGACGTCTTCCCATTTACGCACTGGGCTGCTTTCGTTTCTAAAAGTGCATTTTGATAATGACGTAATTGCGGGTATATTGTGTTTCGAGATTGCTATCAGCGGCTCCATCAGACCCACAAATTATGATTTCTGTCGGGTGTCGCATTTAGCCAAATGCGAAGTTTTGTCATTTAAAGGATGCGGCAAATGTGCACGAATTTAACTCTAGAATTACCGCCGATAATTGATGATTTCATTGGGCAGTTGATGTGGCGAGCTGTCTGTGCAAATCTCGATATCGATTTTTCCCCATTACTCGTCGACAGTCGTAAAGTCAGTGATTGGTTCAATATCAATGCAAGCACGCAAGTAGTAATTCCTGTGGCTTACGGAAAAGTTTTCAGATGCTTAATTCAGGCGATGCTGTATAGGCAGCGTAAATTCATCGGCTCAGAGAAGTTTCGGTACTCCAAGTCGGTAAATAGATTAATGCGTAATTGCGTGATTCATGTTTGACTGCCGCTAGGCCATTGATTGGTTAAGCACCGGACCAATCAACAAACAAGTAGAGAAAATTTTAAAGTACTCGGGTCTGGAGATGCTTATAAGGTACTAACCGGTTCAGAGAAGTTGCGGTACTCAAAGTCGGTGATTGTCACCAAAGCCTCCATGAGGTCTGGTCTCCTGTCGTTGTCGAGGTCGAGAACCTTGTAGAGCGCCTTGAAGTAGTCTTCGCGTGTGGCAACAGGCAGGGACTCCCTGTTCTCAAAGAAGGAGTCGTTTGAGACGAGGGTGTAGAGAAGGAAGTAACTGCCCTCGTTGGCATTCACACCCATCATCACGGAACCCGACGGCTTCAGGTGGGCCAGTTCCACAAAGTTCTGGCTGTTCCAGTACGGCAAGAAGTGTCCGTCGAGGATAGGCGGAAACGGCACGGAGAAGTAGGCCCCAGAGTCAAAAAGGCTGGTCTGCGCGTCTATGTAGGCCTCAGGGGACTTGAGTTGGAGACAGGCGTGAAGGTCACTTCCACTGCGCCCGCCACAACCAACCAGGTCAACTAGCCTGAGAGCGCACAACAGCCCAATCAGTTAATACACCAGCAAGACGTTTGGAAATCAAAAAAAAATATTTGGTTTTTAAGGAACCCAAATTACGCAAGGCCATCAATACCTGCATCACGACACTGTGGGTTTCGAAGGACTACCGATCAATTTTTGATAACGTTTAGCCTAACGATTTTGTCACTTATTGAATTACACTCCATCGCCTGCACGTGAATACGTAGCACAGCAGCTTCACAATCAGAGGTCACTTTTCAGTCGCATAAATTCTGATGAATTTGCAAAATTTTGCATGAAAGATAACGTGAATGAAATTGTCCCGTGTGTTTGGTTGACTCGAAAATCTATAAAAAGAACCTCGGCCTAACCGAAACTGAATTAAACTTTGCTGTTTTATTTCCGAATATTCGTCTAGACTTGTATGCGGTCTAAGTGTAGACCATGGCTTCAATTAACACGGGAAATTCTCGAAAGTGATTGGATGTTTGTTATCCAATCACATGTCCACATAAAATTTAGGTGATTAGCGATTGGCTGACTGTTCTTGGTGCACCATTGAGATGAAGATCCCTCACTTTTGGTGACCACGCAACTTTATATCAACTAAAATTGTTCTTGTAACACGCTTCGCAGATGGCTCTACTTAAATAAACTTGTCTTGCCGTTTTGATTGGTTGAGCTGCTTCCTCGGGGTCTCCACGCCCCAGTAGCTAAAGACGGAGCCGGATTGGAGTATGGCGTTGGTGAAGAAGGCGTGGGACCAGGGTGAGATGAGGTGCGCACTGACGCTCACGCCTCCAGCTGACTCACCGAACAGCGTGATCCTGGAGGGGTCTCCGCCGAAGGCTCCAATGTGATCCTTCACCCACTTGATCGCAAGCCTCTGATCCCACAAGCCCATATTACCCGGCACCTAGGCACACAATTTGATCATGCTCACTTCGTCCGCTTAAAAATCCAAGATATGGAAATTGGGTTGTACTAGAATTTTATTTCTCGCCTAGGGTGAACGTAGTTTACTTTTTCAATTCTTTATATAGCAAAATCCCGGACGGTTGATGCCTATTTAAACAAACAAAACGGTGCCAAAAGACCTTGATTGGGTTTTGAAAATCATAATGCAATCAACCACCATATATTTAGGATAGATCCCCTAATTTTAGAG